TTTTTAAATGAAGAAATAGAAATAGGCCTTAAACATATAAGCCTCATACAAAATAAGAAAAAAGCAGATACAGACTTTGGCAATATAGTGTTGTTCATACATCACATTGACATATGCTTTAATGCTTGTTTTACTGCCTTATATAGCTTTTTGTATCTGCCTTAGAAATTAGTTATCAGAATAGAAGTCAGGTTCTTATGACTCACACTGTGGTCTTCTAAGAGATGCCTATTTTCACCAATGGAAAGACTATAATTTAAAGAAAATAGTAAGTAAGGAAAGAAAGAAAGAAAGGTTGTACTTTCCCAACGGCACACAAGGTTGTTATGGGTTCTGAGACAGTAGGCACTTTCATACATCCTGTGAGTGTCTTTACCAAAGTAGTATCATGCTGTGACCCTCCTTGTATAAATAATTCTTACAGATGTCTCTCCACATATATTAAATGACATACCCAAGGTTGTTATAGCAGAGTTCATTGAAACATTCAGTATAGCTCAAATGTTAGCTATAGTTGATTGACTAGAAATGTTTGGCACATCTGCACATAAAAGGAAGAAATTTCCAAACTGAAAATACCCATCAAAGTAGAGAAGAGTACATATAATTTGCTACCTTTTCATAGAAAACCAGGATTGTTTGTTTATATTTGCTCATTTATGAGTAAAGAAAAATTTGAGAGTCTTTAAAAAACAAACCTACAGGTAAGTAGGTGCTTTGTGAAGAAATCAAGTAGTCCTTTATACAGTGAATACTCAGTTTTGAAAATAGGCTCCCTTATTGCTGATGTTTGAATTATATAAATGTGAAGTTTTAAATAAAATTTCGTAGTAAGAAAATTTAAACAAGATAGGAAGTGAACAGTCAGAGGGTTATTACTACAGAAAAGTTCAGCCTTTTCAGTTGTCAGTAAACAAAGGTCTAGCCTCTACCATTTTATACACCTTATCCTAAATGTCCCCACATTTATGCTAGAATTAAAGGTGTGTGCTACTACACCTAGGACTCAGGAGGCAGAAGCCGGGGAATTTATGTGAGGTCAGCCTGGTCTACCTAGCAAATTCCAGGTCAGCTGAGGAGCCCTGTCTCAATTTCCCCACCCAAAAAGAAAATCACCACATTAGACTGTCAGACACATTTGGGAAACAATGCCTTTTAATAAATAAGAGCCTAGTAAATAGCTACATTGCAAACAAAAATAACTTACCTGTAAAGGTCACTGCTAACATTCACAATCAATTTTGTAGAAGTTTCAGTACTAGTCAAATGGTGGGGGGGGGAGGGCAGACAGCTGTGTCATGACTCCTACAGATGTCTTTTTTACAATATAATGAAAATCATTCTTTGATTATGTGTTGTACTGGTAGTTTGTTCACTGTGGAAAATCAGCTGGTTACACATACACTGAAAGATATGAGTGGCAAACAGAATTGATTGAAATCATTTGCACTCTTCTTCAGTACTTGTAATTTCACAGTTTTGCAACAAGGATGCAAACCTACACAGTCCTGTGATTGGTGACTTGGAGAGGCGAGGCTAACAACAGCCTATTGTTCTTTCCTCCCTGTGCTATTGATCCCTAACATCAGTTATTGGGAATAGATTCGCCTAAGTGAACACTGGTCCTTCACTGGCAGATGGGGCTGAAGACCTCTAATCAAACTATTTGACAGGGCTTCTTGCAAGGTTTCATGCAGTGCAATAATCTCAACATCTATTTGTTTGTATTTTAATCACAAATGTAGAACCCCTTGTTACAACCTGGGTTCTGCAGAACCCCACTTGAGAAACCTTGGTTTGGTGTTTACAAAAACAATTTCAGCAACATGTCCTGGGCAGTGAATCAAGGAATCAGAAAAAAGTGATTCTTTAAATATTTACTTTTATTGGTTTTTAAATTATGTATATGCGGGTATGTCTTTGTGGGAGTATGTGCACAGGCATATAAGTGCCCACACAGGCCAAAAGAGGGCATTGGGCCTCTTAGAGCTGGAGTTACAGGCAGTCGTGAGCCACTCAGTGTGGGTGCTACTGACTAAACTTGGGTCCTCTGCAGGAGGAGTAAGCTCTTAATCTCTGAGCCATCTCTTCATCCCTCAAAAGAATGAGACTTAGAAGCTGATTATATGATTATTTTTACAATTTAGTTTAAAACTGAATTATATTTTCAACCATAACTCATACCCAGTAAGTACAAGGAAAAATTTGTGATGATGTAAAATGATTGTGCTTATAATTTTATTTTTTAGGGCTGCTCTTGAAGAAAATCCTTATTTCCGTTTGAAGAAAGTAGTAAAATGGTATTTGTCAGGTTTCTATAAAAAGCCAAAGGTAATATTTATATCTTGCTTTCTTATTTTCTCCTCCTTTTTAAAAAATTTATTTTATGTTTGTGTATATATATGTGTGTGGATGCGTGGATGCGATGGTGCACACTTGGAGGTCAGAAGACAACTTGTTCTCTAATTCTACTACATGGGGCCTAGAGCCCATGATATGATATTCTAAAGCACACAAAAAACCTAACTAAACTCCTAAAAGCACCTAGCAGAATTCATGTTTTATGATCAAGTATTTATTTTCTTAATTGTTGTAATAGACAATGGTTAAGTGTTATGCAGGTAAACACCCAAGATAAAAGGCAGGTATATGGGCTGGGTGTAGTGGCACATGCCTTTAGTCCCAGCACCTGGTGGGACCTGGTGGATCTTTGTGACTTCCAGGCCAGCTGGGGCTACAGGCAGACCCTGTCTCAAAAAAAGGCCAAAAAAAAAGCATGCATGTGAGCTGGAGAAATGGCTCAGTGGTTAAGAGCACTGGCTATTCTTAGAGAGGACCAATGTTTGATTCCCATCACCTACATGGCAGCTAACAACTGTCTGTAACTCCAGTTGCAGGGTATCTGACACTCTCTTCTGGACTCTATGAGCACTGCATGACACAGATGCACTTACATACACACAGGCAAAACACTCAAACACATAAAATAAAAATAAATTTTCTTTTAAAACAGCATGTATTCAGTAACTATAGTTAGAACTGCCTTTGTATTTTCTTTTTAAATATATTTTATTTTTTGTGTGTATGAGTGTATTACCTACATGTATATAAGTGCACCTGTTTGTGCAATGTCTGCAGAGGTCAGAAGAGGGCATTGGATCCACTGAAACTGGAGTTTCAGATGGTTGTTAGCCACCATGTTGGTGCTGGGAATCAAACCCAGATCCTCTGCAAGAGCAGCCAGTGCCCTTTACTGCTGAGCCATCTCTCCAGCCCTGTTCTACTTTCTATATCCACTCAGTCCCAAGGGTTATAGTCAGAGTAGGAGCAAGGACTATGTTTGAAGGAATGGTGGTAGGAAAACACTATGAGAATAGAATGAAATCTTTAATCTGAAAAGATGAAACAACCAGTCAAGGATAGTTACCACCAACACAAGCACTAACACTATAATGTCAGTGATGTAACAGTCACCATATCCATAGAGAGATGTGGTATTAACAAAGTAGATTTCACACTGTTTTGGTTATGAGTATCTATGTATTAAGCATTGTGCTGGTCAGGCAATGAGAACTAATACGCAGTGGAATTTCATGAAAAGAACCCCAAAAATAGAAATTAAAAGATTTAGGCTTTAGTTCTGAGACTCTTATGAACTATATGTATGAACTTGGACAAATCACTAATTTTTAAGCCTATCTAAAAAGATCTAAAAGATGGAGATGTTTGACATACAGCTACTGCATTATGTGATATTTCCACTACTGGGTAAATACTGAAAAGATATGGACTCTTTATACCAAAACGATACTTGCTCCCTTGTGTTCATTGCAGCACTATTCACCGTAGACAAAATATAGAACAAACTCAGATTCCTACCAGCAGATGAATGGACAGAGATGTTGGACCAGTCAATTCTCAGGTTTTTTAAAAATAACCAAGTGCTTTCCTAAGGTGACACCTGGCAAGAATGTCCTACAGCTAAGAGTTGCTTTCTTGGGGCTGGAGAGATGGGTCAGCAGTTAAGAACACTGGTTGCTCTTGTAGAGGGCCTGGGTTCAGTTCTCAGCACCCACATAGCAGCTAATAACCATCCATAACTCTAGTTCCAGGGCATCTGACACCTTCTTCTGGCTTCCATAGGCACTGCACAACATGGTTGCACTTATGTACATGCAGGAAAAACACTCATACACATAAAATAAAAATAAAAGAAAGAAAAACCTTGCTTTCTTATAGCCATACCCCGATGCCTTAAGGACAATTGTGCTCTGCTCACTAATAAAAATTAACAGGCTCCTGGCACTTGGCTCACTAAGAGTTAACAGACTTCTGGCTTTGTTGATGCAGAGGTTTGATGGGGAGAGAGCCTGCTTACAGGATACTGGGTACAGACCTAATAGACATTTTTTTTTTTTTTTCTGGAACATTGGAGATAGGTTGTCATGCCCCTCCCCCCTGCCTTTGCAGGCATCAAAGGAGGTCTGTTACTGGGCCAGTCGCCGTGGTCTTGTATGTGCTGTGTTGTTTTCTTACTATAATGATGGAAAAACTCCTATGTGTTTTACACTGCTTGAGCACTTACATGTAAATTCTGTGTTAACTTCAAACACTGAGCTTCCAACAAAGGCTCTCAGAAAAGCAGTGAAAGCTCTCCTGAGTGACAGAGCCAGGGGACTTCTGCTCTAGTCTCAGTTTCTCAGCACTGGTCAAGCAAGACATTTACACATTCTTATTTTTAACTGTATTATTCTTTGATACTTTAATACATGTATAATACAACAGCATATTTTGGTGTTTTTTTATTCCCCATTATCCTCATATATATA